TGCAGAACATGATAGGCAGGGTCATGTTCTGCGCGGTTAGATATAACTTCAGAGGGCAGAGGAAGGAAGTGACGACGAGGTCGGGGAGGAGATACGTGACGTAGGTCTCCGCCACGGCGGAGACATCTTCTCGTTGCCCGAAGCGGAGGAGGATCTTGTCGACGTTGAGCCAGAGAAGCGCGATGGGGACGGAGACGAAGAGGAGGAGAAGGGAAGCCATGGAAAGGGTCTTGTGGAGGAGCTTGAAGTTCTTGGCGCCGAACGCCTGGCCACAAATGGGCTCCACGGCGTAGGAGAGGCCGTTCAAGACAGAGAACCCGGTGACGTTCGCGAAGGTGAACCCGAGGGCGGACCCGCTCAACGAGAGCTCCCCGAGGCGGCCGAGGAACGCGGTGGTGATGATGGTCTTGGCGAACCACGTCAAGTTCATGGCGAGCAGCGGGAGCAGTATCGGCCTCTGCGCTTTCAGCTCAGAGAGAGCAGTTCCTGTGATGCTCTCCCGCTGCGTTTCCGCATTCTGGTCGAATGCGGAAGCCATGCTGGGGAGTGGGAGTTGTGAGATGGGGGGAAAAGAAGGGCGAGGCTCTTATGGTTTATTTAGAGATGGCTAAGGTGAGAGTTTCGTGAAGGGAAATGCAAGAAGTGAGGGGCAATTATGGGATGGAAAGCAGCCTTTTTCATGGTGCTGCAATTAATAATGTGATGATTATTGCGTGGTGACGAGAATGAAAAGAACAAAATGTGTTGGGATGGAATCAATAATTAATCTGTAATGTCGTACAAGGCTTTTCAGTTTTGATTTTTTCTCTTTTTTTAACCTCCAAACAACTCTTTTCACCTAATTCTTTCGTCCTGAATTTTGTCTTGGTTTGATTTCATGCTAATTTTAACTATAAATTTTCAAAAAAGGTATTTAATTATAAAAAAAATTATTATATAATTGTATTCGTCTTAAGATATAGTTTTGATACATACTCCCTCCGTCTCGAATTGGATGTCGTCACTATTACGTCTTTTCGATAATTTTTATTTGTTTGTATATTTTCATTGATAGTTTGATAAAATAAAATATTCTTGTGATCATTTATTTTATAGAGTTTTTTATGTACTTTTAAATGGTGTAATTTATACTTTTTATTCCTATACTAATTTATACTCGTAATAAAATTGATTTTAAAAATGATACTCCGTAGTATTTTGCACGCTGTTTGAAGTGTAGCATCCAATATGGGACGGCGGGAGTATCATATTTTTATAACTTTTATTTATTGAAAACTATAGTTAATTTGTGAGCAAAGTTAGCATAAAATTCAAATTAGGACAAATAATTTGGGACTAAAAGAGCACTTTATATGTAATTTTTCAATTCAAATAATTTTTCTTTCATCTAAATAAATTCAAACTACATAATGTTTGGACGGATGGATTATATGGAGCAAAAATGTTAAGCATACATCAAAAGTCCCACGGTGTACCTTATGTGTACAGTGTACACAACCAGTCTCTTCACCATATACTTTTTGACGTACATAAAAAATAGTGAAGCAAGTAACTTAATCAGATCAGATCATATCTTATAAATTCTTCAAAAAGTCAGATCAGATCCGATCAAATCAGGCAAACGGAACGCAATCTTAGTGTACGTTCTCCCACTTTTTTTACGAGATAAACCTCTAGCTTCCATTTTGGACTTCCACTTAGGAGTGCGTAGTGAGAGGAGCCTAAAGTTTGTGAAAGAAATACATACTCCCTACGTCCCTAAATATTTGTCAAAGTTGTATTTTCGAGCTAAAATATCAAACTTTTTCAATTCATTTTATTTACATATTGGTATAGGAATAAAAAATAAAATTTACATATCAAAAAACTACATGAAAAGTTCTTCAAAATAAGAGGTGTCAAGAATATTTTATTTTATCAAATAACCAATGAAAACGTAGAAATAAACAAAAATTCCCGCGACTGCTGAAAAAGCAAATATTGCAAATATTTAGGGACGAAGAGAGTATGTTAAATGCTAGTCTCCCATTCTAAGTTTCTTTTACGAAGTTTAAAGGAAATTTTTTAAAATTTAATTTTTTTGATTATATTTGTAAAATAAAAAAAATATATTTAGAATTTACATCTAAAATTTTATAAAATAAAAATTGATGTGACTATATTATTTTATCAAATAACTAACAAAAATAAAAAAATATGATTAATATCTGATCGTGTAAATAGTGATTGAGAAATAACTTTTGAGAGGGAGGAAGTACCATTTACCAAATACCAACCAATTTATCTTCTTTTTTCACTTTTGGGCCTTTGCAGTTGTTGAACTTTTAAAATAGCTCAATAGCGAGTTGTATAGGCTGTGGAGCAGATAAAGTGTCTGCTTTATTGGACTGCAAAGAATATCTAAGCCCATGAAAGGTAAATACACATACATTGGCATGTCACACAATTATATACTCACTCCGTCCACAAATAAACTTTACATTATCCATTACGATGTTTCACTGAAGTTATTTTCAAATCATTTTATATGAAAAATGGTGTAGAATTGAAAAATAAAAATTACATATTAAAAAACTATATCAAAAGATCTACAAAACTAGAGATGACATGACTATATTATTTTATTAAATGGGTGACGAAAATAGGCCAACAAAGTGAATAAAGTTTGACCCTGTGAATAGTGAACGTAAAGTTTATTTGTGGACGGAGGGAGTACTCCGTATTAAAATAAAAATTACATATTTAAAAAAACTAAATCAAAAGATCTACATAACTAGTGGCGACATGATTATATTATTTTATCAAATGACTAACAAAAATTAAGAAAAAAAGTGCATTAAATTTAGCTCTGTAAATAGTAAACATGCAATTTAATTTGTGAACGGATGGAATATTATATTCGTTTCAATATTTTTAAAATTTTAATAGGCTAAATTTCAAGCGGTGTCTTATAAGTAGATTAGCACAGTGAAGAATTGTATTTTTTTTTATCGTAAGGTCTGCACGTAAAAAGTGAATTTTCTTACAGATTTTATAAACTTACATGTGGATATATTCATTTTTGTAAGAGGCCCAATAATTCTATGGTGTTCATATAATAAAGTTCATAAAACTAGTGTGAAACGAGAGATCATAATAGAATGTGCCCACGAGATGATAGTCCTATTTTTTAAAAAAAATTGGAATTTCAATTTTCTTTTACTATAAAAATGTAATATATATGGTAATGAAATAAAATAAATAAATAAATAAATAAATAAATAAATAAATAAATAAATAAATAAATAAATAAATAAATAAATAAATAAATAAATATAAATATATATATATATATACACACACACACACATATATATACATATATATATATATATATATATATATATATATGGTAATGATTTTTTTTCCCCAAATAAAATGATAGAGAGTTTAATTGTTAAACAAATTTGTAATTGGGCTTGTAAGAAATAAGTCATATTAGTATTCGAAACTTAAAAGTCAGTGGGCTGAAAACTTTGTTAAAATAGTGTCCAAAAGAGCGACGAAAACGGCAAGAATGGACTGAAAACTACTGCTTTAAGAGGACTGCGGGATAACTAAGCTTCTTAATTATCTGCGACTAATTACAACGGCTAAACAAACATGAAACAACCAAATACTATGTGAAATTAACATTTGCATTATATAGAGTATATGAAATTAATAGAATTGATTGTTTTAAATTGTCTGTTTATGATATTTGACTGAAGTTATTTTCAGCATTGATGGAAATCTGGCTCATAAAGTGGGCCGAAAAGGCCCAAACACGAGCCCAACATAGATGAGGGCCTGATCCAAACTTGAAAGAATGATTTGGACCCAATGACTGAATGAAGTAATGGGCTAAACCCAGCCCATCAAGATGGATGAGGAAATCCAATAAGGCAAGCACAATCCACATGATCGTGGGATTGGGGAGTGATTGATGATTGATTACTCGCCCATAATTGACGCACGATAGCCAATCAGCCCGATAATGCAGGGCATGAATTACATACCATATACGTAGTAGCGCTAAACTATAAATAGGAGATAAATCCTCCATTGTAACCCAAGCTAAATCAAAATAATACAAGTCTACGAGAGTCATATATATTCAATTTATACTATTCTTATTTACGTGTAAGTTTTTCGTGCCACCATAGTTGTTGGGAAAAAATCCCATCAAGCATAACTTGTTTAAAAGTTGGGTTGAAATTTATAGATAAAATTTACATATTTAAAAATTATCTCAAAATATCTACTGGTACGAACAAAAATTGGCATGACTATATTGTTTTGGGGGATTATGGGTAAGACTCCAAATGAGTTATTTGGGGATCGGGGAGGGCATCGGGATCCTAGTTGGTGTCGGCACCAATCGGGAGCACCGTCCCTCCCGTTCGGCGCCAATGGAAATTTTGACTTTCCCATGCCGATCTTTCCGATTCTTCTTCCTACCTCTCTCAGTTTCTTCTCCTTCTCCATTGCGATTCCTAAGCACTCCGCACGACTTCACGGTTCAGTGAGGTAGCCGGTCGGGAGACGACACTAACACTCATTAACCTTATATAATTTAAGAATAATTTTTGAATCTCTCAGTGACCGTCCAATCGGATCTGAAAGAGCCTTCGAAGATGGAGCGTATCCTATTAAAACAATTCTTGTTATAAAAAGAAATGAGGTGAATGTATATTTTTGAAGAAAGAGAGTGGAGGAGGCCGGACCCCATCCACCGCCCAAGACCCACTGAGACTTGCAGAGATCCAATTAATATAACCCCCCAAAAACAAACCCATCTCTGATCCCCTCCTTCTCTCTTTCCCCTTTCTCTTCTTTCTTCTAACCCTAATCCTCCCAACCTATCAAAAACCACCATAGCCCCCAAGCTAGCTCTCATCAAGATCTGCTCAACTAGCTGCTAGGGAGACAAACTGATTTTATCTAATTATTGTTAATAATAATTAATAATGGTAGCCCAAGATCAAATTCTTGTGGGTGCCACCATTTTTACTTCTAAGCTACCCTGAAACATAGTAAGATCATATCACTCTTCTCCTTCTATGTATATATTATTGTTCATGTTTTTTGTCCTCCTTTAATGCCAATTTTAAGCTTGCAATAATTTGCATGTGTATGTATTTGTTGAAAATTGAAGCAAGAAGCTAAGGGAAAGGAGGGGAAGAAAAGAAATAATGGATCCATCTCACTTCCACACAAGAGATTTCAACCTCCACCACTTCCACTCGGAAGAAGATCAAGGTGACATCGGCAGGCACCGGCGCGACGGCGGCGACGAAGGGAGCAGCAACGACAACGCCGCCGCCGCCGCGGGGGAGGGGATGCTGAGCATCAGCACGGCGAGCGGCCGCGACTCGGCGGAGGTCCGGAGACGGGCGCGGGGGCGGCCGGCGGGGTCGAAGAACAAGCCGAAGCCGCCGGTCATCATCACGCGGGACAGCGCGAACGCCCTGCGGACCCACGTGATGGAGGTGGCGGACGGGTGCGACGTCATGGAGAGCGTCGCGTCGTTCGCCCGCCGCCGCCAGCGCGGGGTGTGCATCATGAGCGGCACCGGGAGCATCAACAACGTGACGCTCCGCCAGCCGGGGTCCCCGCCCGGGGCGGTCGTCACGCTGCGGGGGCGGTTCGAGATCCTGTCCCTGTCGGGATCGTTCCTCCCGCCGCCCGCCCCGCCCGCAGCGACGGGGTTGACCATATACCTATCTGGCGGGCAGGGGCAGGTGGTGGGAGGGAGCGTCGTGGGGACGCTCATCGCCTCCGGGCCGGTCATGATCATGGCGGCATCGTTCAGTAATGCCGCGTACGAGAGGCTACCGTTGGAGGGAGACGAAAGCAACACGCCTCCGCCGCACCTCCAGGGCGGACTAGCAGGACGAGAACAACAACAACAACAACAACAGATGTTCGGGGACCCGACATCGTCATCCTCGTCGATGTATCATCATGGTATGACTCCAAACCTTCTCAACCCAATTCATCATCATCATCATCAACATCATCAGATTCCTCCGAATGAAGGGTATTGGGCTGGTGGCCGCCCTCCATTCTAACAAGCTAGCTAAGCTAGTTCTTCATGAACTCAATCATCATCATCTTCTTCATCATCATAAACAATGTATTTTGGCAAATATTTAGGTTAAAAGCACGCAGTTTGATCCACCATTTTGAGGTTAAGAGCTCACATTCTTTCATTTTCTATATATTTGAATAAGTTCATTATATAATTATTTCATTAATTACTGCTCTACTAATAAATAATAATGCACACTCCATAAATTAAGCTCTAATTATTTGCTTGTTTTTCAGTGTTTTTCCTTACCACTTTTGAGAGTTTAATTTGATGGTGAAATGTGCTTGTAATATGATTAATTCACTTCATATTTTATGTACTTCCAAAAAAGAAAAATCAAATCTTGGATCTCATTTTCATATCCATATATATACAATACAATTTTTTTGTTGTATACAAATTAAACGTAACATATACTCCGTATATATGGTTTCTAGGGATTACAAACTGACTTGAAATCTTATTTGTGTGTGATTTTTCTTATTGTGCTATTGGTGTGTGTGTCATTAATTATATTATGGTTCATATAACTTATTAAATTAATTTTAGTTTGAACTATTAAATGATCATTCATAGGCCATCAGCTAATCAAGAAAATTAAAGTGACAAACAAATGACACACTGATCATATATTATGTATGCATAGTAGAGAAATATTGAGGTATGGTGTGTTTATATATTTATCAAACCTTTTACTAATATTTCATTCTAAGTTCATCAAAAAAAATCATTCTAAGTTTTAATTAATTGCATTCTTTAATTATTTTAAAGTCACCATCCACCCCATTTATGTTTCTCTTGAAAATTGATAAATTGAATAATATAATGGTGAATTAGGAAAATACTGGGTAAATGTTTGAGAATCCCATTTAATATTTAAGATTTATAGACTTTGTAAATGTGTTCATGGGTAGTAAGGAATAATAAATTAATTGAACAAGGAAATATAGACAGAAAATAGAAATAGAGATTGATTGTCAAGGAATCGCCTCAACAAAACATTAATTAATGTTTTTTTATGCAAAAAAAAAACGAAGCATTATCAAGTGTCAACTAAACAATATTTTTATTCTTTGATTTCTTTTCTTATTTGAAAAAATGGGATAGTAGCCGCATGAAAAATGATGTAACATAAAGAGTATCTTAGCCATTTTATAATTACAATAACATAATTATAGTTTTTAATAATATGATTGAGGGGAGATTTCTTTAAAATAATCTCTAATTCTACTTTCAAGTAAAGATAAAATTTATATATACACACTCATTTTAAGTCATATTTTGTGAGATTTCATTGAATTTTTTGTTGTTATCGTATAATTTTTTATGTTATCAATATAAAAAAGACGCGTCCCAAAAAAACTTTTCAAACACCAAAAAGGACGCGCTCCAAAAATGTACGGAGTATAATTTTGATTATTATTTTTTCCCTTACTTTATAATTAAATTTGGTTATGATGTACTCCCTCAGTCCCTAAATAAACTTGTCTTTTTGACTTTTTAAGGATTTAAGGGAGAGATATTTTGTGTTGACTTTCCAAAAATACCCTTGATGTGATATGTAAAAGTAAGATGTGATTTGTAGATTATTAGTAAAAAGGTATGATGTGATAGGTAGGGTATGAAAAAATAAGAAGTAAAAGGGGTTTTTAAGGGAAAAGAGAAGTTTATATGGGGATAAAGAAAAAACAAAAGAGGAAATTTATTTAGGAACGGAGGGAGTATAAGATAGATGAGTCATGATTTGAAAATAATACGAGAATTACTTATTTTTAGGGCACACCTTTTTTCTTCTTTGAAAAATTTTCATGAGACAGATGAAGTCCTAATTTGTATTGCCAAAAAAGACTTAATTATTATTCAAATGTCAAAGTAACTCTAGTTTTTCTACATTTTAATCGATTATTTGATAAAGTAAAAAAACTTTATCAGTACTTGTTTTGTAAAACTTTTAATGTAATTTTTTTAATACGTAATTTTTACTTTTTAATTATATATAATTTTCATTTATATTGATTTAAAAATACTTTCAGTCAAATATCATAAACTAAACATGAATCATATTTTGGAAGTAAAAGATTATAAGAGAACATGACTAGATTCAAGTAGTTTAGCGTTGTCTAAGAAACAAAGTATGAAGGACCATGCTACACTTACACCAAAAAATATACCCCATTTGTACACCACAGGTTTGCACAAACATTTCGATGCTTTACACCGACACAAGTGTTGGTGTGTTAATAAAAATTCACACGGACACAAATGTTGGTGCGTTTAACAAAAATTAGTTTTACACCAACACAATGTGTTGGTGCAAAACTGCGGGGTACAAACCTTGGGGTACACATAGCATAATCCAAGTAGGAATGAGCAGAGGAAGTGGTCGGAAATGAGCATTTGCTACATGTAACCTACTCCCTCCATTCCATATTAACTGTCCATTATAACTTTTTTGGTACATTAAGAAATGAATGAATGTAGACATAAAGTATATCTACATTCATTCATTTCCCAATGTACCAAGAAAGTCATAATGGACAGTTAATATGGAATGAAGGGAGTATAAGATATATAATCATGACAAAGCATACTCATTATTGCCCTCCATGATTACTGTTTTTTCTTGATCTTAGTGGTGTATTAATTAGGGGTTGTGATGGACTGGCCCACTTGTCTCCCTAATTTGTCCCTACCTAGCCTCTTTTTAAAATTGAGATCTGTGTCCAGACACGTTAAAAATGTTAATATATACTCCCTCCGTCCCAAATTATTTGTCACATTTCTATTACTGAGGCAAAATATCAAGTTTTTTCAATTCATTTTATTTACATATTGGTAAAGAAATAAAAAATAAAATTTACATATAAAAAAACTACATGAAAAGTTCTTCGAAATAAGAGGTGTCAAGAATATTTTATTTTATCAAATAACCAATGAAAACGTAGAAATAAACAAAAGTTCCCGCGACTGTTAAAAAAGCAAATGTGGCAAATAAATTGGGACGGAGGGAGTATGATCCTTATTCGATGAATATTTGAATCATTCGACTCGATTAAATATATAGATTAAAATCCGGAAAATATGAATGGTACTTAGATAACAGATGAATTATTTAGATGGCGTACATATGAGATTAAATTATATACGAGTGAACATATGATGTTTCTCACCCCACACCCGATATATCCGTATATTTTTGTTGAATTTTTAATACTTATATCAACGTACAACTAATACTTGTAGTTACATTTCTCGTTTCAATTTTCACGGAGTTAAAAAATAATTCTTCGTTGAGATTTATGCAGGAAAGAGAGAATTAATGTGGATAACTACCCGATCCATTTTCAAAAATAAATGAAAAGTTTTGTATTTAATGGCATAATTTTAATAAAAAATTAAATATAACATCATTTAAACATCCAAAGCTTGGGTAAAGAAATAAACACACATAAATATGAGCTAGCATGCAAGTTGCATGCTTATGACTCTACGTATAGTAATACTCCCTGCGGTTACTACTACTAAATGTGATTAATATCTTTTATAGTTTGTTAAGAAGGGGAAAAAAAGCTATTTAAATTTCTTTTGTCACCAAACGAAAAAACAAGCTCATACCCATGTTTTTTACTCCCTCCGTCCACCTAAAATCTTCTCATTACGCGTTACGATGCTTGACCGACTTTATTTTCAATTCAATTTAATTGATTATAGGAGTAAATTTTTAAAACAAAATTTATATAGTAATAAACTACATAAAAAGTTCTACAAAACTAGAGGTGATAAGACTATATTATTTTACGAAATGACTAGTAAAAATGAGCAAACAAAGTGAGTAAAGTTTGACCCTGTGAATAGTGTCTGGGAAGATCTATGGTGGACATGGAGTATTTTTTTTCTTTTTTTATTCTTCCCAAAAATAAACTTCAAACAAAAATATTTTTCTATTTTGCAAACAAATCTCAGCTAAAGATATTTTATTCTTCATTAATTGTTTTTTAAAAAAATTGTTTGAAGTCAAACTACGAATTGAATTTAATTTTTTAGTCCAAAAAAAAGATAAACACATAATTAGATATCGAAATAAATTGAAAACCTTAGAAGGTCTAATATAAATTAAAGAAGAATTGAAGAGGGAACATATGAGTTGTGATGATATGGGAGAAGTATTATATTACGGAGTATTATATTATATTAGTTCCATGCCTTCCACGCACTAACATTATTTTGAAGAATAAACATTCAATTGTAGAGAAGTCAAACATTATTATAAAATAATATATACTCTCTTCCTACAAATTTTATTTTTTTATGCAATTATTTACTATGTTTGATTGAAATTGTGAGTATTTTTCGCTTGGTTCATTGAATATAATACTCCATAATAATTATATACGGAGTATCTAAAAGTTACTATATACAAAAATAATACGAACTTTGTATAAAACAAGATATGATAAGATTGAATTATTTTATTAAGTTAAAATAAGTAAATAAAAATGATAAAGTCTGACCATATTTTCACTCGTTGGCATGAAATTAAAAAATATTTATTTCTCGTTACAAAAAAGCCTTTAAGAAAACCAATTGATCAATACGTAGCAATTTTTTTCTCTCTTATAAAGTTCTCATTTTTTTTCCGTTTATCTCATTAAAAAGCTACATTTTCCACTTTTGGAAAAGTATTTATGGCTCGTCCTGTACTCTATTTTATTATCCCGTAATTTCTATTCACTTCTCTACATCAATTTCAATCATAAATTTTTATCCCAGCCGTCCTAAATAATCGCTCCCTTCGAAGAGCATGAATTACATATTTCAAAACTATGTAAGACATAAATTACATATTTCAAAACTACTTAAAAAATCACACATTTTTCAGTATTGTTTTACAAACCTATTTTGTTTTACTAAATAACCAATGAAAGTACACAAATAAACCAATAAAATAATTATCATGATGCCAGAACAATAACTGAGATGATTATTTTAAATTGCTGGAAAAAATCTTTTTTATGCCCCCATGGCTCCATATCAAGTTAAACATGAAACATTTTTACAGGATCAAAGCAGTTTTTGGGAAAGAGTTTGCCTAAAAAAGGTGGCGGGCGGCCTCACACTCCGGTCTGACAAGGTTGTAAGTGGGGTAAATTATGATATAATTTCAATCTAGTGGTTCTTAGAGAGGCCACCATTTGCTTGGTGCGCACAATAAACTTTTAAAAATAATAAAAATCTCGCACTGTCGAAGTCGGGATTCGACTTTGGAATTAAACAAAGACTTTGCCTAGGATTTAGGGATTGATGAGAGAGAAGAGACAATAGAGTCAGTGAGTCACATCTGGATACACGTGCACAGCAATGGAACAGTGTTCCTTTTCGAGGCATACCCAATGTGTAACGTTTTGCGTTTTATTGCTCAATCCCACTCCTTTTTTTCCGTTCAAATTGACCAAATTTTAGCCCACTTTTTCTTTTTTTATTTTTAAAAGGATTTTATAGTTATGCTATGTGTACCTAAGGTTTGTACCCTGCAGTTTTGCACCAATATTTTGTGTTGGTGTAAAACTAATTTTTGTTAAATGCACCAATATTTGTGTCTGTGTGAATTTTTATTAATGCACCAACACTTGTGTCGGTGTAAACCATCGAAATGTTTGTGCAAACCTGTGGTGTACAAATAGGGTATATTTTTTGGTGTAAGTCCATGACAATTTTTTTGTATGCAGTAGCATACTCCATACAGACATAGAGAGTATTTCATCTCTCCCAAAAAAAGATTACAATATTGCGCTAAACAAAACAATTTTTTGAGTTTTCAAATCATTTATTTAAAGTTTGATATAGAATTAAAAAAATAAAACTTACATATTAAAAATTACGTCTAAAGTTCTGCAAGACAAAAAGCGGTAAAAATATTTTACTTTATCAAATGCGAAATTAAACAAAACTTTCCGTAATTTTTGAATAGTGAAGTGTGTCAATCTTTTTGGGACTGAGGGAATATGATTTTTATTAAGAAATCCTAAAACGAATAAATTCCAAAATGAATCAAACTGTTTTGTTTCGACTATAATTTATTTATATTTAATGTAAATGGTAATTAAATATAATACTTGTACACTTTTTTAGTTCTCTTTAATTAATTTATCATTATAATTTATACTCCGTACGGGATATATATTTACTTTCAATGTATGAAAAAAGGTATAATAATCCCTTAAAAGAGAATAAAGTCACAAAGAGGGGGGGGGGGGAGATGGATGTATAAATTTCAAAATAAAAAATTAATATCAAGTATTATGTGTCAGTATACGGTTCAAGAAATTAAGATGAAACTGATAAGAAAAAAACTTTTTTTCTTTTTTCCTACCAAAATTGAAGGAATTTAGTTTTCCCTAATTTTAGCTTATTTTGGCTCAGGTCCAAGAGTGGACCAAGGTGCCCTACTGCTCAGATTTATTTTTTGGGGACCAACAATTTTAAAATTTTAAACATGTATTGTATTTTTCATATTAGAAATGAGAAACTTAAATTTTTAAGATAAATATTACGATATTTAATTATAATATTATAATATTGTTATGAGTATTATAATAATAAAAATTATTGTTTTAATAAAAATAGTGTATACTTCCACTGTCCCATAAGACTTATCAAAAATGAAAAAAACACACCCTCAAAATGGGCAATTTTAATATTATTTTTTAACTATGACTCATCTATCTTGCATATTATATTCTACTTCCTCCGTCCCTAAATAAACTTCTTCTTTCGTTTTTTCTTTGTCTCCAAATAAACTTCTCTTTTCCCTTAAAAAACCCCTTTTACCTCTTACTTTTTCATACCCTACCTATCACATCATACCTTTTTACTCATAATCTACATATCACATCTTACTTTTACACATCACATCAAGAGTATTTTTAGAAAGTCAACACAAAAATATCCCTCTCTTAAATCCTCAAAAAGTCAAAAAGGGAAGTTTATTTAGAGACGAAGGGAGTATATTATTATGAAATAAATAAAAAAATTAGAAAATAATATCAAAATCATGCATTTTTAGGGTATCTTTTTTTGTCTTTGAAAAATTTTATGAGATGAAGTATATTTTAACTTGTTAGAGCAACGACCCGTTTTTTCATCTCTTCCAGGGTCACAGAATCTTCAGGACCGGCCCTGTTTTTGCTTATCTTTTTTTTCTTCATTTTTATTTCCTTTTCCCCTTATCAATTTATTTTCTTTTCTCTCTCAAATTCTTTAAAACAAACACAGTTTTAGTATATAGCTAGGAAAATAAGAATGTGAAACCAAAAACCTTAATTATATACAGAGTAGGATTATAACGGCCGACAGCCCCCTCAACTATAATAACTTCATTTATCGTTACATTTCATTTGAACCCCCGACAACTTTTTTTGTGTGTGTGGGTCGTGTGACGTTTACTTAGTTTATTAGCTAAATTTAAATCAAATTTATATAGTTTGAATTTAAATAAATTAAACAAAATTAAAAAAATGGTACTTGCGGTTTTTTTTAAATTGAGTATTATTAACTTAATCAAAATATACTATTTGTTCATAATTTGTTATTATATTAAAACGCATAAAATCAATATCCGGCAGAAATTTGAATTTGTGACCCCTCGTTTGATTTGCTATTGGTTTGATAACAAGTTTGAACTTTGAAGATAGCTAATATTCTATTTCATGGAAAACTCAAACTAGTGATTGAAGAAAACTCAAAAAATATTTGTTTGTGATGGTATATCGGAACCTATTCATATGTAGAAACGAGTTAGCCCCCATAAATATTATGCCCAAACCACTGAGGCTCATATGGCCAGTCAAGATGAGGGGCCCGCGTGATATGGGACGGTCTAACTCAACCTAAAGCTCAAGTCTAGACGCAGTTGAATAAGCACTAAGGTAGATGCTAGGGTTAGAATGAAGACAGAGACACTCCCACAATTAATGTCCACAATCCACTTGTCTATTTTAAGAAAATTGAACGTGATTGTCTATTTGACTCAATGAATATTCCTCCATCCCTAAGGAAGAGCTCAATTTTTTTTGAATGTTATTGACTCTATTATAAGATAATATCTATTCATACTATTTTTAATCTAATGACGCAAAAAGAGTCAATGCTTCCGACTCCGCAGGGGCTCGAACCTGGGTGAACTTCCCCATAAATCTCGGGGAGCATGCTTGCTACCACTCAAACTGGGGGGAAAGTTCGGAAGGGCTAAAATTTTGAATACAGAAAGAATTTTATTTAGTTTCATCTCTTTGACGTTTCGTGATGACCAATCTCAGTTATATTCCTCATATATTTACCGTCCATTACTGTGGTCCAGTGAATTGAAATCTGTCAATATACTCTATATATAGCAATTAGCAAAATGTTGGAGTTTGTTTTTAAAGTTGAAAAAGAACACAAATAATTTTTGTGAATTGAATAAATAGTGTGTAGAATGGAACTAAGATTCTTTGAACGAAAGCAAAGCCTTAGCTTCATCATCATCATCATCATCATCATCCTTATTACAGTCAACAACATGAATTCAGACACCTTCACTTCATTCCCACATTTGTACTGTTCGCTTTTTATGAAACATCCCATGTATGTCACGTCTAGCCACTACTATAGTATACTATACTTATCCTCTTTCTCTCTCTCTCTCTCTGTGCAAATGAAAGTGTTTGGCACAATTCTTTATTGCTGAGTATTTAATTTGTAAAATAGAATTGATGTGTATATATGTACATGAATTCGCATTTAAGAGTAGTAAAATATGTCCTAGTCATTCACCTAAAACTCAAGACAAAAAAGGACTCCTCTCTACACTAGTCTCACAAACCGATGTAGTCTCAATCGAATAATCGAATGACACACCTCTCAAAAACTACATCAATCTTCATCTTTTCTAATTTGATATTCCATACTAATTAGTCTCGATCGATCTTCTCGCGTTTAGATCTTTTTTTTCCCAAAAATCTAAGGGAATACAACAAGGGTATATAGGTGATGTGATGGGACTTTAGTTACTTTGTACTCCATTATTGATAGTAGGACATGGGTCATGTCCTAATGTCCATTTTAGGGTTGCAAATTGGAATGATTGGGCACACCAAATGCATGCTTCCCATTTATGGAATATACATATCCATCATTTTTGGTTGGGAGTTTTGATTTGGAGTGATTAAGGTATCCCTTATTCCATGTTTGGTAGGGAGGTGGCGGATATATATATGCATGCAATCTAGTCCATAACGTTATGGATGGATAGATGGATGTACACAAATTAATTTTTGGATAGGGTGGTAGGGTCTATATATGTGAAAGGGACGTCAATTGGCCCATTCTATATGGAGTGCCTACCAAGATTTAGTGGCTTTTTTATTCACCAACAAGACCCTCATTCTCATCATGGTATATCTCATAGATTGTATGTAGGGAAATTGTGAAGTCACATCAACAAAAATGACACTGGTTCGTGACAACAGTAGCTTTGGAGCACCTACGGTGTTCCGTTCGTAAATCGGATATTGAGGGGGGCTGGGGTGGGATGAGGTGAAATTGCTCTGAGCAAGGGATTAGATTAATAGGAATCATAATTTTACGAACAGGACACTGTAGGTGCTCCAAAAGCACTGGTGTCACGATGTTACACCACTAGAAGTGGCGTAACATTAGAGACTCTGGTGTATAAATGGATGGATGTCTACCAATGCAAAATGCGCAATAATACAGGCCTCATTGAATTTCCTCCCTGAGGGATAACTAGTAATGCAATATGGGATCTCACAGCATATGCCAAAGCAATAATCCTAGCCTATACTAATTAATTTCTCCCTGTAACCAATAATTCTAACATGAATTTTTTTTAAAATCAATAGATTTCTGCAACTTATAGTGATCAAATTGCAGGCAAGTAAATTGGGATTATATACAGGGAATCTAAACCTGTCTAGCTCAAATAGTCGGTCACGTCTTTGATCAACAATGCTCAACCCGCATCCGCCTCATTTCCGCCCTGAAGGTTTTGCTTGAATTTAACGTCTGGAGTGCGAGGGCCTTGATATCCTCTCGCGGGCAATTTCGTGAGATGTGTAGTAGTTCCCGAAATCCACCTCCGTTTATCAAATCCTTTGCATTCACCTCTGTAAGTTTTATCAACTCCAAACTTAAAGGACATGTAATAATTTTTATTATTATACGGAGTAGCAGCCAAAGACTTCACTTTAAAGTAAGGACAGAAATATCAAATACGGAGTATGTGTCTTTCGATCACATGCTTCCAAAACAAGGACGTCACTTTTTCATCTTTCTTGCTCACAAAGTTGTCATTATGCATTTGAAGACAACATTTAAAGATTAATCCATTACAAAAGTCATAATTTTTTCACTCGGAAAGCTCATTGAAGAAAATAAAATTACATGGTTGGGACATATTTAGAAATGAGAGAAATGATACCAACCATGAAACTTTCCTCGAGAGAAATCAAAAAAGAAATTTTGGGACAACCATAAATGGAAAATGAGAAGAAAAACGTGGGGCTAACGGAGTATGTTTTTCTAATTTTTTAAAACCTTAACAAACTAATAACCAAATCTCGTTGGTGATGTGCAAAAATGAGAGTGGTATAAAATTGGTGTTAGCAATGTGGTGGTACATCTAGCATAGCTCTTAAGTCTTAATTAATCTGTTTTAGTAGCATTTCTGTAAAATACTTGAAACATTACTAAGTAATATCCTTCTTAGAGCAGGAGGGTATATGAATAGTACCATTTGACTATTCTTCATTTGCCCAGTCCTTTGAAAATCATGTTGTTTCGATGTGATATAAGTACGGAGTAACAACAAGACATTCAAACACTACTCATGGGATTATGGTGTAGACGTGTAGCGGATGATTTTTATGCAAATGAAGATAAGAAGATAACAAAATATAAAGAGCATACCGTGTTTTGCTAAGTGGCAGAGTGCTAACTCTATATGGCGCCTAACCGGTGATGCTTCATTGTTTGCGTTCTGTATTATCCACGGCAATGCTCCATCATCAATCAGAAGAGACCTACCGGTCTTTATCCCTGTGACAATGCATCTAAATGGTCATCCATCAACTATCAATGCCTCTAAACAACCAATCAGTAGTCATCTGGTTCCCTTAATCTAACCACAAGTCATAGACAAAGCCACCTTTGCTCTAAAAATATCTTACTACGCCTAGCCTTTTAGAACATTGGTAATCACTAACCAACTTTACTACACACTCCGCGCTAGAAATTTCCTTTTTTCGTAGGCAAAATTCACAAGAACACTCCGAGAAATTACAAGTTTTACATAAATACTCCCAAATTTGTTTATTTACACAGTTACTCCCACATTTGTCTATTGTTTACGTTGTTACTCCGCGATTGCTTCATCATCAGTGTTCCTCGGGTGCGTCTTTTTATACGGGGTTCTTAATCTTTTTTTTTATTGAATTCAAATTAAATTAATATGAACAGACTTGATTTTAAACATTAAAAAGATTTAAGAAGTTTGAAATTTGGATTTTTTAAAAAGTGATGGAAAATAAGGGCAATGATTAGGCTTACTAAGACGTGAGAAAGATGATTGAGAAAACAGATTGAGCTGAATTTGGTATATAGGAGTGAAAAAAATACATGTCTGCATTTTAACTGTTCACTTAACTCAAAAAAGACACATCCAAGTACCACTAATGATCACTACCAAATTTGGGAGTAATGATGTAAATAAAAGAGAAATGTGGGAGTAATGTTGTAAATAAACAAATTTCGGAGTATTTATGTAAAATTTGTAATTTCTGGGAGTATTCTTGTCAATTTTTCCTTTTTCGTATCCAATACGTGCCAAAAAAATATTCATGTTTTTTTGTCCCTCAAAAATATATGCTCATGCTTTCTTTTAACGAAATAAATGTTGGATGATATCATTTCTTATTTAAATTGAAATCACACACTTTCACTTTTCTTAATATGCCAAATCAAAACAAAAAAAAAAGTTTGACTGATGGAGCACTAGAAAAATGACTTTTAGGTACTGATACGGGTGACTTTGGTCCTTTTGTTTTTTGTGGGGATTCAAACTATAAAAGTTATATGCCATATTGTCATATTGCCATGTGTACCTTGTGTGAGAGCTCCGGATTCACATTTAGCAAAGTTAGCAACTGCACGAGCAACTTGAGCTAGAACATCACCATGCCTGCACCCGACCATTCCTAAGAGTGCTTTGATACCTCCTTCAACACTAAGCTTTGTTTGTAATTTATCTGCAAAAGTGTAATCATTTTATGGGGTAGATGTAAGGAGAGAGTGGGGGTCACCATCAAAAGTCTATGCTAAAAAAACACTTCCTTGGGATCTACTTCAAATACGGAAAAGGTTAGGGAGAGAAAACAGGAAAGACAGATGGGAATTCAAAAAGGAAAGTTTTCTTTTTCTTTTTTTCAAAAAGGAAAATAAATGTACATAATCTTAAAAAAAAATTACAAAATTTCATTTTTCTTTGTACGGAGTATTTTCTTAGGCTAGTTAGGTTAAACTGTAAAACCAAACATATCCTTATGCGCCATTTCCACGTTTCAAACGTAGCCTTAAGGAACTCTGGGATTTTAGAAGAATATTACTGTGTTTATTGTAAATAAGCATAGGTCCCAAGAAGAAAAAAGGTAAATTTAGAAAAAATACCGCTGCTACAAAGATTTGCAATAGCTCCTGCAATCATGCGAAGAGTTTGAGGATCTTCAGCATTCATAGCTGTCATTGACAACAATTTTATGCCTCCTTGAGACATTATAAGCTCCCGGTTGGTCTCTGTTCACAACAAGGTAGAAAGTCAAATAGAAGGTGAATTCTGGCCTTGAACGAACCTAAGATCAGCTTGATGAATGCTTGAACTTTCCAAGTTTCATTATGTTGAAATGTGAATGTGAATCTCACCATTCATGGCAAGGTTTGCAATTGCTCCAGCTGCAACCCTTTGAATAGTCTCTTCATTTGAGACTCTAAGAATTGTCAACAAGGATTTAAGTCCACCTGCTTTAACAATTTTTTCCTGGTTTGCCTCTGAAAATATGACAGAAAAATATTGAGTGAAACACAGGAACAGCAATGATGAATAGCTATGATGTCATTTGGTAATGTTCTTGTTTCCAGTTTCTGAAAATTGTTGGAAACGAGATAAGTTTCTTGTTTTCATTCCCTCTGAAAATATATTTCAAATCTTGAATCTGTCTATAAAACATTTACTACTCCATATAATTTATGAAAACATGTATATTATACGGTGATAAATACGCATTCAAAAAAAATTGTGATAAACACTGTACACGAAATAGTCCACCTGAAATAGTCTATAATCTGTTGTCTACTTTAAAATATGGAAAACATGTTTACCTACTCAAATTTCAAATATCGCACAAGTGGTGGTTGTGATGATCAACTATGGCGGTGCTAGTCGCCGATGGTGGAGTAGGTTGATCACTGATATTGGTGCTGGTGGTCACTGGCAGTGGCAGTGGTCATTAGTTATGGTGGTGGTCGGTGATGGTAAAAGAGGTTGCTGTTACTGTGATGATGGCAGTAGTTGTTGGTCGTGGTGGGGGTGTTTGCTAATGATATTGATGGTCATGAACGCTAGTAACGACGAAAGTATTGTGCAAATGTTGGCAGGGTCGCAGGGGTGGGAGTGAGCTGTCACAGACTAATGACAATGGTGTGGCGGCATGAGGTCAATCATTGTGGTATGTGATACCGTAGGAATTGAAGACTACGTGAGTAGTTGTATTAGTCACCAATGATTGGTTAACTTTTGAAAGTTGTTTTCTATTACAAAATTAAAAGGTATTCTATTTTCTAATTTTCAGAAAAACTGGAAAAAAAATACAAGAACGTTATTTTGCTTTCTACAAAGTATATTTGAAGTGGTGAAGTAAATAACTTTTCAGTTTTCAAAATTGGGACTCAAACAAATAGACATGTTTTCAGTTTTTGTTTTATAATTTCAGAAAACAGAAAAACATTCAAGTTAGTAAACGAGCCCCGTGTTTCTGAAACCAACTCAAAAATAAATGATGAAATGATTTATGAACAAAAGATTTTAGTCCTTAATGATGACAGTTGTTACGCGGAGGACGATATTCATTTTATTAATTTATTCTTACACTTATATAGTGATAGCAATTAGGAACACAGACATCTCATCTCTACACCTGAACATAACCCCTCAAAGGACCGATTAGGAGAGCATGAGTGAAGCCGATCAGTAATACAGTAATTTGTATTGTTGAAGGTATGAAGGTTGCGGATCAAGACTTTGATGATCCAAGGCTCATTTGTATGATAAACATGGAGGAAAAAAAGAATGTCAGCCACGAGCAAGGATAACCAGTGCTTAATATTTTGGGCATTTTCGAGATCATGTTTGGTGGAATAGGCCATGAGATAATTTTCATAAAATATTTTATGATGTAATCGTGTGGTAATTACCATTTCCATTACATAGTAATTAGGAAACAAGATTGAGCAGATAAAGTTTCTTTTGAAGAGATAGCATTGTTAAGACTAAAAACTTTGGAGACACGTATCTTGAAGATCAACCAAATGGTTTGATAGGATTTATTAGGATCTTTATATTCTTGATAAATTTCATTTAATTTGTAATTGAGTTTGTGTTTAGCCAACACATTTTTTTGTGTGTTTAGCCAACGCATATTCTTATTTCCCTGATTTGTAATACATTGAGGTTTATTTACATGGAGTGTGCCTCTTAAAACCTTCGAGTAGTTTTAGTTGAACTTTATTATAATTTCATTATCATTGTGAGTTTTCTAAATTAATTAAAGTAGATCCTATTATTTACCTTAAGCACTTAGGATATCACATGTTCTGTGTTGTAACGGCATGACAAATAGAGGTGTGGAAGTAAAGCTCACTTGTATGTCTCGATAATCCGAGGGACCTTTGAGAACGGCTAGCAGTGTAGATTAGTAGACTGCCACAGTAAGCTGCACCGGTTGCATGAGGTGGTTGAAAAGAAAGTGAAGATGAAAAATTATAGGACTTTGATTGGGTGACATCCAGGGTTACCCTGACCTTTTTCTCTCTTACAGACATGGACATTCACATGTCTGTGAATCCATGTCGGTTAGAACAAAAGAAAGGTTGGGGGGGGTCATTTTAGCACTATCCAAAATTATATAGAAATACATAATATAAACAAACATCTAGTTCTTTTCAAGTCTAAAACTAAAGTGGGGAGAAATAGTATAACATAAATCCATTCTCCCCTTCCCTCCAAATTCCCTTAACAAAACAAGCCTTTAAGAAGAAAGCACATTGCATGTAGCAGTTTATTACCTTCCGCGGCTAGATTTGCCACCACCTTTACAGCGTGGATACGGACATCAGTATCTTCTGCTTCAAGTAGTGACAATATCTTCTGCAGTCCAACTGTTAAGAGGCTAGTTATTAAGATAGAATAGACATGGCCAGAATATATATGATTCTCAACAATTACTTGAATAGTTTCACCACCTTGATCAAAGAGTTTTTCTATTGAAGCTTTCTCTTCATCTCCAGAACCTTGTAGTTGTTCGTGTATGAATGGACGATGTGGAGAACTCTGACCGCTAGGTAATTCTGTAGCCCCTCTATCAAGGTCTCTAGTTGTCTACTCGCACGAGGTTATTTTAATCACATTCAAATATGTAATATATAAATGTATAACATAACTGCTCCCTTAGCTCTAATATTTACACCATCAAATCATGCAGAAATTTTGATGTGTTAATTCCCTTCAAAAACATTTTCAAATATCTTTCTTTTTTATATTATAAGGATAAAAATATATACCTTATCAGCTTCAGAACTTAATTGCAAAAGACGACTTTTTAATATTGATATTTCTTCCTCGAGTCTGGCTTTTTGTTGTGCCTCATCTTCCAGCATTTTGCGAAGCTTTAAGATCTCAGAACTTCCAGCTGCCTGGTAAGCAGGAAATTTTCCTAATTAAAAATCCGTACCCACAGAAAATGCACAAGTTGAAAAAGGAGCTAAAAAAACTTCAATCATGGTTGGAAAAAACCATGCCTCTGAGATTTTACATTGTGCTATTTGATTTTTAAGACCATTAATGTTGTCTTCTGCAGCTTTATGCAAGGAAGTTTCATGTTGAAACAACTTTGTAATCTCGGCAGCATCCTCAGAAGCAGAAAAAACCGCAGGCTAAACACAATGAACTGGCAGTAAATCTTATTGCCATTATTGGTGAAGTGATATTAGCAAGAAAATCAAATACATTAAAGCCCTTCAGAGGATGTTACCTCTCTCCCCAAATATTTGTTGCAGCTTTCATCATTCTGGCTAACCTTTTCATGCTCTCTTTGATTTACTGCCCACTGCTCCTCTAGCTTCTTTATTGCATCAGCATACTCCTTTTGATACTCCATTCTCTCATTCTGTATATGACAGAAGCTCACCCAAAAAAATGAAAATGAAAAGCACAGTTCAGATCTTGTTAGAAAACAGAAGATCTTATACGTATGGAAAACAAACTAAGGTCCAACTCCATTTTCACTCCCTGTTTTACGCTTCCATTCTCAAAATGAGAGAGCGTGAGCTATCGGAACTTTAGAATAAAAAGTCATCCATGCATCTAAGTTGGACAATAAGGGTGAGTCCTACCAGGCACTGCTGCAATGCTTGCATGTTTTCTGTTATTCTTAGAAAAAGGTTATCCATTTTCAGGTTGAATAACAAAATTTACTTCAACAAAAAAAGTCCTTGAATTCTTTTTTTTAATTTCTCTATTTTACTGAAAACTGGAAAGTTTCCCAAAAACTGACAATGAACACACCTTATAATCTTATATATTTCTTCTGGTATTGTGAGTCTTTTTTGCTGGAGCTTTAATATTGCTTTAACAGACTATGTGAGCCTCTTAAACAGAAATTCAGCATTTTAATTACTAATCACAATATACTACTCTTGGAGCTTTTCTCTCATAGCATACTTATTATGATTGTGAGTTTGTAAATAAACTTTGCAGTCCACAGTTCAGTTTCCCAAATTATATTCCACCTTATTCAATAATCAATATTGTGCTTTTTTACTATTAATTCTTTCATCATATTCTGATATACTGTTCACATGTCACGCACAGGAACCTTTTCATTACCTCCAATAACTCAGCACAATTTCTTTCAGCTTCAGTAATTCGGTTCTGAGCTTCTTGAGCAATCCTCTCTATTTCATCCTGGAATGATTTTCGCTGCCTCTCATGTTCTGCAATAAGAGTCTCCAGTTGGAACTCAAGCCTTCTGGACAAACTTTTGTAGTCAAACTCTTCTTTGATTTTCAACATATTCTCCACCTTCATAGCCTGCACATGTCCATAAAGATTAATATCCCCCCTGATTAAAGATCTTTGTTACTCTCCATTGACATCACAAAAATAAAGATATCTAAGCCCACAAAGATGTTATGTTTATATATAACATGCAATCTCACACTAAAAAGAATTGAAGAAATATAATTAGAGTTTACCCTTTGTCCAAAATATATGGTGCTTGCTGTCTCTGCCCGGTGGTGAGGAGACGGGCCAATGGTAATTACTAATGAAGTTCGTGCAGTACCTACCATGGTTTACAATCCTTTCAAGTGATAAGTGTCATTTTAGATGAAGAAAAATAATCTTACTTATAAAGACATGTTTGGAAGGAAAATGGAAAAAGTGCTTTCAGCAGTGAAAAAGCCCTTTTAATGCTTATTTAAGGAAGCATCAAATTGGCACTTATTCAAAAAAGCATTCAAGTGCTAAAATGATAAAGCAAACACCAACAACAACAACAACAACCAACCCAGTAAAATCCCATAACTCATGATAAAAATACATATACCATGAGTTCTCCCAATACGGCCATCGCCAATGATGCTTAAAAGGCCATACTTGACAATGTTTTAGCTGGACCGAATCAAAATGGCACATTCAACTTCCCTTTCATTTCTCTCTATGAAGTGTTGGGCATTAAATGCATCAATGCATCAAGGGTCTAACAGAAAATCTGTTTTTTAACAGGGGTAAAAGTGTAAAACCCTAGCAGACTTAATATTTTACTGGGTTTGTTGCTGTTGGAGTATAAGTAATATCCCAAACAAGCATTATTGATTGTGGCATGTCCAAGCATTTTTTTAATTTTTTAACAAATTAAACTGGGAAATACATCATGGCCATAAAAGTGGCAAAATAATACTTCCACTCTCCAAAAAAAGATTCCACATATCTTTTTTAGTTTGGTTAAAAAAGGGCTCATCTTTCCTTTTAACGAAGGAATTGGGTGGTTCACATGATTTCTCTCCTCTGTACAAACCTAAACCATACACTTTCACCTTAAATAATAATCGTATCCAGTCAATTATAGAACCATATTTCGAAACGGATGGAGTCCTATTATTTTCATGCAAATATCAGTGTGAAATAGACTTCTCAAACAATTATGGTGTGAAAACCCCGTGCGTTCTTTATTAGTGTTAAGAGTATCCCACATCGGAAAAGTGTGAGGAAAATAATCGGTATATAAGCTCTTGAGTTGAACTAACTAATCGATTGGATTCAATCTTTTAATACGGTTTAACCCAAGTGTCTTATTGCCCAATCCAGTTATCCCTACCCAATGCTAAATTCTATCATTTGTCATGGTGTCCGTCTAGACGTTCATTCCTAGCGGCACGTTAGTCTTTAGCCCAGTTGTCCGTATGGAGTATGTAT